AAAAAAAAAAAAAAAAAAAAGCAATCAAAGAAGTTGAGCCTTTGACAAAGCACTTATGGAAGGTTTCAACACGGAATGCACACTCAAAAACTTTGCTCTACACTAGATAATACTATCCACTACGGGCTAATAAATGGATAGAATTGTAAACGAATCAAATAGGGTAGAATATGTAGTTGCGTACAAATTATTAGAATTGACACATGAAAGTATTCTTTAATACATGAAGTTGCACCAATGAACGAATAAGGTTAAATAATTAGCTGTTGCATCAGAGGAAGGAATAGGATAAGGATTGTGTCAAAGGCTTAAATCACTTTTGATTAACACATGAAATCAAGTAGAATTTGTTGAAGTTTCAGTAAGTGTGCATATGTTCAGCATGGCGCCATATACATGCTAATCGCCTGATATGCGCATACACACATATATAGATGTGTTGGAATCTGCAGCACACTTGAAGTCTCTGCATATTATTAAAAAACTTCTAAGTATTTTTTATTTTTAGAGATAAATATCTAAGATCTAGAGAATTAAAATTTTAAAATGTTCGATGCAACAAAAGAAATAGAAGATAGCAAACTAACATGGTTGAAGATTTTAGTCCCATGACATTGATGTAGAAAGTTTAATAATCGAATCCAAAAATAACAGGATAAATTTGGTTCTAGGACACTCACACCCACTCTCCAATCAAACCCCATGAAGGTATTTCAATAAATGATGTAGTGCTTCTCGGAGAGATACATAATCCATCCGTCTACTTGGGAATATTAGCTCGTCAATGTGTTTTAAATAGACATACTAAAAATGGTAATTCTTTGCACATTAGAAAGCTAACAACATTTTGAGTATAAACAAACAACTTCTTCCTCTCCTATTGTAGCCGCAAGCATAAATGAACTACTGTTTTTCTACATTATATAAACAATGGGAAAAATCACAACAACAAAAAAAATTACGATAGGATTACCAGGCACCAGCAACTTCATTTCTCTCAACATAGAGGTCCAATTAACAACCAAACCTCAAGTTGGTTTAGTCTAACACTTTGCTTTTTGACAAAATAAAGATGACGATTTTATTTCTATTTTTTTACTGTACCAGATCAAAATTTTATATAAATTATTTAGGAAATCACAATTTCCATAGTGTATAATTGAAAAACTAATTAAAAATCACAGTCACATAATACATATATAGTAAGGAGAACACCATCATCTATAGTAAAATTCAATAAATTACTCGTTAACAGTGAAATCCTATGGATTGTACAAACGAAATGAGACACATAAATCACATCAAAATTAAATTACTTTGATAAAGAGAGAATAGTTTCATTATCAATAGCTCAACAGTACTCACATGGCAACGAGATATTGGATACGAAGACTTTGATTCTACAAATTCACCTGCAAATGCAATTTTTACACTAATCAATACAAAATTAACCAGCTAATAAGTGCGAAAACGATTAAAAAAACATAATTCTCCATATGTGAGAAAAAAACAAAACAAAATGTAATAATAAAACCTAATATGCAGATCGAATGAACACATAAAGAGGAAGCAGATCAAATGCGTAGAAGAAGAGCAAACCTGACTTTTCTTAGAATGAGGTGCGAATGGTGAAGAGGAGACAGAAGAGAGAGACTTAAATTGAAAAGGCTTTTCTATTGGGCTTTTTGAATTGGTCTTCTAACTTTTACCCATGAAATGAGGCACGGCGTATCAAAAAGTGTCCAATTTTGTGTTTTTGTTAACTTCTTAAAAATATATAACTTTAAGTTCAAAAAAATTGTAAGGAAGAAGTTTTGTTGCCTATAAAGTCGAATTTATGGTCAATTGAGCATGTTCACTATCTTGAAATATTTTAAACTTTTGACTTGTAGGAAAAGGAAAAGTTAGAACTTTGATGGACAACAAAAGTTTTATCTATGTGTTTATTGTCGGTAAGGTATAACTTGTGATCAATTTAAGTTCATTGTACTGAAATATAATAAATTATATTATATAGTAAAAACTAATATATGCCCGATGAGCAACAAAAACTTTGCCTAACAAATTTTCTAAAGCAAGAAGCTAGTTCTTGAACTTCTTATTATATGGGGTTAAAAAATCAAGAATACGTTACGAAGATCATTTATGAAATTAATCCTTTACCGGGTATTAGAGGACCAGATAGTGTTGAATAGATTGTTACAACGCTCGTTGAACGATTCAAATAGAAATGACTAGGTAAGAAGTAAAAATTCTCATATCAATCCATCTCCATGGACGACAATAGTGCGTTCATTGCCCAATTAGGATTATTAAAATGTACGCTTACTTGCTCTTTTTAGGTATCTAAACGGAGATCATTTGCATTGTACTAACGATGTTAAATTACATCAATAGTCTTGTCCAAAGATTTAAATTATTTTATCAATTAGAGATGAGACAATTTTATTTATTGATTTGCCACAATTGCATTTCAAAACCTATCATGTGAGGTAAAGTGGTGATGTCCATTGAAATTTGGTACTTCTTAGACCATCTTCAACCCCACTCTATTTTACTCTCCATTCACTATATTTTGAGAGTAAAATAGAAAATTGAGTCTCCAACCACTCTCTAAAAAGTTCTCTATTCTCTATTTATAGAGAGGTGTGGAGAACTACTATTCACCTCTCTATTTCACCTTTTCATTATTTTAATATTATTTCTATTATTTGTAACTAACATATTGTTTTTCATACAAGACTAAGATTAAATTTCTAATATTCATAATTCTTTTTAAATATAATACAATATTTTTAAAAATATATTATTTAATATATACCACTTTCATCCCGAATAAACAATATTTTTAATATGTTTTTTTCAATTTTCGTCATTTTAAGAGATAATTTGATATCATTATTGATCTTCACTATGAAGAATGCACAAAATTTAAATGATAAAATGAAAATTTTAATTTAAAAATACAATACATGACATAATAATTTAAATACAAGATAACAATACAATACATAACATAATGATTTTTAAAATCACAATAATAATTTAGTAATTCGGTAGGTCGTTTTCAAATTTAACAATATTTTGAAAAAAGATAGTGTATGATCTAGAGAATTGTTGTGTTTGTGGTTGCGGTTGTGCTTGTTGATTTTCTTTTTTCAATTTTTCGTAGTTGTTCTTTAAAATTTACAATAAAATATAATTTTATATTAAATAAAGAATTTTTAAAATTAAAAATTTTATATTACATGAAAATTAAATAGGGTTATTTTGAAAAAAAAAGAACGAATTTATATTATGAAATAAGAAAATGAAATAGAAATAGAAATAATAATATAATATTTAGGAGAGAGAGGAAGATTATTTTTTAGAGTGTAAAATAGAAAATTGAGTTAGAATTGATTGTCTGAAAAAATAAATAACTCTATATTTGGAGAGTAAAATAGAGCATAGGTTAGAATTGATTGTCTGAAAAAAGAGATAACTCTATCAATTTGCACTTTTCAACCATTACTTAAATATTTTCCTTTCCAACATGAATAAAGTTAATACGTAGGCTAAAATTTCTTTTTACATGGCCATATTTTTAGCCATTTTTGAGACAAGACTGAAACGATTCATTTTGGATAAGATGTCTCCTCTCTCTTCATAAACTCTAATGGCTATACCCCTCCCCAGTATAGTGAGTGAACATAATCACATAATCATTTCGCTCGATACTTGTTTACCTCTCCATCGACCAAATAAGAAGGAACATACAGTACAACGAGTAAAGTGCAAACGAAAACCCACAAATACAGTGGATAGAACAAGCAGCTGACTGCATTTGCACTTCTGTCTACTCAAAATAACTCATTCATCAATATATGCGCAGGATTCAGTGAGCACCAGACAAGACGTTTTCCCCCATGAAGCCATCACGGAATAACATCTGGGAGATGCTCAATAATTCGAACAAATAAAGGGTTCAAAAAATTTAACCCACGAGTATAATTTATTAATCATTTTTTAAGATGTGCATAGTTCAAAATTTTCCATGCAGCAACCAAGTTGATTGAAAGGGTTGCAAGTCAGCAGCACAGTGAGGAATAATATGGTAATGACTTGTTCAACAACGAAAAAGCAGATAAATTGCAAGGGATCAACAACTTATATCCTTGTTACTTGAGGTGGTCAAATAACTTCAAAGCAACCTGTGTAAACAGTGCCGCGAAAAGGTTAGAAAACAACAAATAAAAAATGGAGAAAAGAAACAAGAGGCAGCACACCCCTAAACTGCTTATGCTAAACAGATGGATAAGGGAGCTTACACATTTGTCGATGCAGTGCCAATAATCAAAATACTGTCCAGTGCAATGTTTGTGCCCTGATTCATCACCTTCTATCCTTTTAGCACATGCCTGTAGGATGCAGAATGAGAGCAAGAAGTAAGAAAACCACTATAAATTTTGAAGCAAGGAAAGCTGGCCTTCTTCAGACTTCATTATAT